TTGGGAGGACATATATATATATATATATATATATATATATATATATATATGTACGTATATATATACATGTGTATACGCGTATATAGCAGAATGGCGCGTGTGGCGCTGTCGTCGGGGACTCCTTGCAATGCACAAGGGGTCGATCTCCGAGCCCCAGGCAGACTCAGCAAGCGCTCCATCCCTCTGAGGTCAGCAAATCGGTACAATACTTGCCTGAGACGATAGCAGTACTGGCTCGATACATCGCTAGACTACCGCGAGTCTTTGTAAAGGCCTCAGAAATTTATCAATGCAGAGAGCTTTATCCTTTATCCTTCTTATATAGCAAATCCTAAAACGCACTTTCTGTTAACCTCTACATTAATTAATAATTCACGGTTTTCCTTCAGTGAGCAAACACGAGGTTGGTATTATAGCATTCATCGGGATACAATAGCCGACGCTTCGGCGGTTTCGCTTTCTTCAGAGTCTGGAAATGTCATACTGATTTGCAATCTACTCAGCCGAATATTTTTATAAGCTTAGCACATACGACATAACACAAACGCATAAAGTTGTATTCGCAAAATGAATAGCTTGTTTTTGAATACTCGCCGTTTTATTCGTTGTAATTGTCCCAGAAAGGGCGTGTGTAGCGCAGTGGTTTGAGGCACCCTACGATGCACATAAGATCGATCTCTCGCCCAAGGCTCACCAAACCTTCTGTTCCTCTGGGGTCGGAAAATTGGTACCAGACTTGTCTGAAAGTATATCATCACTGGGAATCGTCTATCGAACTCTTTCAAGTTTCCAATTTTTTTAGGTGCTCTAAAACAATTGTACACTAGGTTTTGCAAGTTTCCGAACAGTATTGCGTATATTTTCTTCTCTTCTCATCACCTTGAATTCATCATCGTCGACAGCAGAAGGGCGAACGAGATCATCTTCGTCCCCAACGTTGAACTCGCCACGATGAAATTTTTCAAACCACGCTGAGCTGTGTTCGTTAAAACTTCCTTGGTCCCGTACGTCATTAATGTTTAGAGCTGCTTGAGCTACGCTATGATCGAGGTGGAACTCGTAAAGGTAAATTTGTCCAACGGATAGCGTAGTGGTAGTGATCCGGTTCATTGTATGGACGCAAAACGTACTGAGCCGCTGGGTCGATCCAGCACCAGGCCTACCAATCCTCTCATCTTTTCGTGGTCGCGAAATTGTTACCAGACTTGACTGGGGTCAACCCGCTTCCTCCGTTTCAAGTCTGAACGCCGTAGCATCGCTATCCTAGAATTCCAGGGTGAATCGTCTCCACAGTGACATTCGTGAAGAAGACAAAAAATCCTCCAGAAGCCAAGCTAACAAATGTTTGATGACCATGGTGAGTACCAGGAAACGAGTCGAATGCAAGAAGTGCTGGGATCTGCCCAATGTGTCGTATATGTTGTTGGACTATGTAGTGAAATAAAGGATAATAAAATTTGTCAGAAATAGAATTTATATTATGGTCCAGTTATACACAGCGGAACAGCATGAAATGAGCCTTACGTTGGTGTATAGTAGTGTAGTACTCGAGAGCGAAAGGTATTGCTAAGACATATAGAAGGTAATAAACTGCAAGGAAGCTTGAATTAAATACGGAAAAACCTAATGCAAAGAGAAGAGCGTTGAGGACATTACACCATCCACAACTGGTTGTTCTGACGCTTAGTGATGGAAATAGAACTCAAGACATTACTGGGTCTATATCAGAGCAACGATGCATGGGAAGAGCCACTTGGTTTTGCGTTTACGTCATATAAGCGTTACAATTCGTGCAAGTCCAGTAGGCGTAGGTATAGCTTTATAGAGCGGCTAAGTATAGTCTCTGTCTCATAGAAAGTGGAACTATATTGTGTGGATCACACTGTATAGTGATTACACAGGTAGTTATTGTTTATAATTTCAGGTTACTCGACTACTTGAGCGAATCCTGTCAGGTTCAAGAGCATCTCTTGCATCCGCCATAACGCTGGTGGAATCTAGAAATCCACGTAAACGTGCTCAAGGGAACATGCTACTGCATGTCAGTGTCTTATTTTATTTATTTATTGACTTTTACTTGTTATAAATGACTATCCGTAAATGTAAGAACATCACAAGTCACTGAGGTCAGGTGGGCGGTTGCCTTAGTGGAGAAATCTTGTTGGGATGACCATAATGATGCTGAGATATTTACAAGACTCAAACCCCTGGCTATATTCGAACCCGCGATAACCCTTTCCGGGTACTCACGTGTTACACATTGCACCACAGAGGCCTTGCTTTTCCTCTCTCTCGGCCAGTTTTTGCCCGCGATGCCATATCACCAGTCACCCGAGTTTTGCAAATATCTCAGCATCACTATGGCTGTATTTCACATAATATCCTGCTGTGGAAAAATAATAGGTAGTAAATTAAAAGTGAAGTATTATTAGCATATTAGTTGTCTAAATTCTTCCTTACCGAGTACATGATTTGTCCTCCACTTATGTGTTAGGATCATTTTACAAAAAGAGGAGGAAAGTTTTAGAGGGATCAGACATACTTGGAGGTTTTATACATGCCCATAGTGAGAGTAATGTTTATTCTATTAGTTTTTCAGTCAAGTTCTCATCTGCTCAAATAGTTTAGTTGTCTAGGAATTATTGGTAGTTGTCGAAACACCATTGTTGTCCGTCAAGCGTCAAGCACATAAAGTGAATTTTCATCAGTAATCGGTTGTTATTTCATCTCGAATCGCTGTAATGAATCATGGTTTTCTTATAGAATGAGCATATATGAAAAATACATATGTTGTATATGTTACGAAACCAGTTATGAAATGATGACGTCAACGTATTTATATAGAACCGATCTTTTCTTGTCGCAAACAACAGCTGGATATGTCTCGAAAACTTGGAAGAATATGTAGAAGAACCTAGAGGATGGATATAAAACAAACAACACGGAAAGCACTAGTAAGACATAGAAGGACCGAATTATAGGACGAGTCTAGAACAAAGAGACGGAGCACTTTTCTAGGAGACAGTTAGGATAGGATGACTTTGTATTAAATCATAGCGAGTATGCAAAAAATTATGGGTCAAATAGATGTCGTAGTCACACCAATTTAGGCTGGATTCTGAGTGCTAGTAGTATGAACTAGTTGTCTTTGTTAACGATCTAAGTATCTAGTGCAGTAGTCGATTTTTGTCCTGTATAATTCAGTATATTTTCTAAGGGTGTACTCGCTGCAGAACGAAAACGCTATGAGGAAAAAGGAAAGGATTCTATGATTTTCCGTGTTGGTTAGTGTTAATTGTTTACGTGACGTGCGGCTTAGAGTCGCATAGTTTAATGTTTTCCCTAGTCTAAAATAACTGGTTTTCTTATTTCAGCAATTTCGGGCAGTCCTGGTGTTGGGAAATCTTCCTTTATAGAGGCTCTAGGTAAAGAGCTTACCGAAGGGCGCAATTTAAAAATTGCTGTGTTAACCATTGATCCCACAAGTGCAGTCACGGGAGGTATATTTTTACTTTTTAGTTTTAATGAGAAATATAGAATATGTCTTTCCCATATGAATAGTATTTCTGTTTATGAGATTTAAACTGTTGATAATTTTAACGCGAATGATGTTATGCTTTTTAGGGTCTATCCTTGGTGATCTAACAAGAATGCAGGAATTATCTCGAAACCCCAAAGCCTATATCAGACAGTCGCCCACTAGTGGTGGGAGTCTATTTTACGCTCTCCGTTAATATGGTTTTTTCAAATTTCGTTAACGTATTAATTTCGAGTTACTCATTACAGGTTCACTAGGAGGTGTGGCTAGAGGGATCCATGAAGCTGTTATTCTTTGTGAAGGAGCCGGTTACGACGTGGTTGTGATTGAAACTGTCGGTGAGTGCACCGATATATGTATAACACTGACTTATGCAATGTAAGGTATGGTGGCTGGAACAGAGAATTGCTTATAGGAGTCGGCCAATCCGAAGTATCTGTGGCTGATATGTGCGATATGTTTTGCCTTCTCCTTTCACCGGCTCACGGAGATGAGCTACAGGTTTATATTCCTCGATTTTTGTATATTTATCAGAATAGATTTGTTTGTTAGACTTATTCTTTCACCTTTGGCACTGTGCTCGTAACCTACCCTGATAAGGTTTAAGGGCGTGAAACGAGGAATAGTGGAACTAAGTGACCTTCTTGTAATTACAAAGGACGATGGTGATTTGAAATCGAAAGCAAAACTAACACAGGCAGAATATATCTCAGCATTAAAATACGTGCGACCACGGATCGATGCCTGGAAACCAAAGGTAAAATCGTTTGCTATTGCTTCCTTATTTACCTGTAATGATAGAAAGGAGCAGTTAAGAATATGAACTAATATCATTATAGGAAATGACCTTTTTAGCCCTCGTTGGTATTTTGACCTCGTTGTTATCTATTCTAGAGCTATAATTCTCATTGCTTGTATCTTTTTTTATTTACATATATGCAAGCATCGACGCATTATTGTATGCGTTGATATCAACTCATATGTTGAGGCAGGGTGGACCATGTGAACTGATCTCAATGCATATTCTTTGCGGGTATCACTTTTGCCACCAGTGGTTTCTTTGGTGTGATTTTTTGTGTGAAATCAATAGCTCATCAATTCGTATGTGGTATAGTAGTTTATAAGAAAACTGGGTTTTAAACGGGTTTGTTTGTCTGACTAAATTTCGCTAGGGAAACTGCGTACTATGACACCTTTGCGTAATGATATGGTGATAAATAATAGAGAAAACTTGTATGTGTATTTGTACAGGGTAATTGAGCAGTAACTCTCTACTTCAAAATTCTTATAATTCATTTCTTAACTCTACTTTTTACGGGGAAATAAATTTGAGAAGAAAGCTTATAGCATGCCGTTTTGTTTAAAAGTCGAAATGGGCACCAGCATTCGCCATCATCTCAAGCCCACCAGGAACTCCATAAGGATGCTCAAGTTTTTAATAGAGAATGCTTGACAGTAGTGCAGCTTCCAAGCATGCCATTTAAGCTTTTTCTTATGAACGGATTTTACAGAGTGAGGAGAGCCCACCCTCCTTTATCGCTTGTTGTTTTGACTTTTTTTGATTGTGAGCAACTATTTCTTGAACAGCTTGCACTATCTCGGGATAACTGGAATTGGAGAAGCGATAGCATCTTCGCAAATCAGTTACAGATTCTGTAACCATGAGTTTTGCGTGACATTTCTTGATCTTGTTTCTGTCAACTTGAGTTTGTCCTCCTTTAATGATCCTCCAGCATTTGTGAACTTGAACAATGGATCTACAAGATTCGTGATGAGCTAATATGAGGCTTTGGTAGGTAGGACATTCAACCATGTTCATAAGGTTCCCAAATTTTATTCAAAATAATTTTAAAAAACGGTAGTTTCCAACCACTAGGGAGCACATACAAAAACCGAAGAGAACTATCACAATGATGCTAAGATATTTGCAAAACTCCGGACGGCAGGTGTCTACGGTGGGGAACGAACGCGCTCACCACCACACCATGCGGATCCTTCGTTTCGCCCCCGCCCGTTGATGGGTGATTGTTGATGGCAGTGATCGATAGACATAGATGAGAGACAGGCGAAACGAAGAATCCGCATGGTGTGGTGGTGAGCGCGTTATTCCCCGGAAAGGACAATAGCGCGTTCGTTCCCCACCGCAGACACCTGCGGTCCGGAGTTTTGCAAATATCTCAGCGTTATAGATGTTGTTTCACAAACAATATCTTGCCGTGAAAGCTATTTAAAAGCAGTAAACAAAGATTCAGCAAGAGAACTATTATCGTTTATGAATGAATTATAGGAATTTTAAAGTTGAAAGTTGCTTTTCAGTCACCCTGTATAGTGAAGAAGGGCTATCCATGAGCACAATGCGCATTTATTGAAGTGTATAGTGGCCTTTTTCGAAAAAAGTTCTGAGTTTTAAATCTCGCAACCGATCACCATTATTGTGAAGTTTATTCACGAATACTTATTTTGCAATCTGAAATTCCTACACTAAGTTTCAGTTTCCTTAATGAGCACGTACAAGGTTGTTGTGTTGTTAGGATAATTATTTCGCTCAACCTATTTTTTTCAGCTAATTTCGCCTTCTTCAGAGTCTCGAAAAGTCAAATTGATGCGCAATTTACTCAGCCAAATATTTCCATAAGCTCAAGAAAAGAAACTCAAAACTCAGATTTCAGTTACATGAGAAACAGTTTTTTAAGCGTTCAATATTTTCAGTCAGTCTTCCAATTATTTATGGAGATCAGCCGCACAGAGTTTACGTGGGTGGGGAACATGCCTTAAGTTATTTTATCACTTATCACATAACCCGACATCGTTACATTTGTGGTGTTCCTAGCACTTCTCTCATTCTATTTGTTTCCTTGCTTTCACCATCTACAAGGATTTTGTAATTTTGCGTGTGGAGTCGACTGCTGCTTGAGGATCTTTTTGTTAGTCGTGAATGTCACTGAATGCCGTTGAATACCGGTCGAGTCGATTGTCCATCGAGTCTTGGGATAGAAGTGCTAGAGCAGCGTTCCCACGTCGATTAGAGAGAGTAGGGTTGTCCCAAACAAGTTGGATGCCAATTTTATGACGCCGGAGAGACGGAATGCCCGCTTGATGGTCAGTGTTACCAGCACTGGTCTACCTGCTGGCAAGATTAACTACCTATGTTTGAGGTAAAATGTAGAGAAGAGGACGTGGAACGGCTTTAGGAACACAGTTTCGAACCTTCCTTGGTTTTCCAATTGATGCCTTTGTTAAATGTGCCAGTGGTACTGGCGCTAAAAATCCTTTCGTTATCGCCATCCATTGAGCCCGTGATGGGGTTTATAGGCTTCCGACGACTGAATTAGGAGACATGTTTGTTTTTCAGGTGAAGGGTTATGAAAGTGTTCGGCTGAGTAGACTGTGCATCATTTTAATTTTTTCAAGTTCTTGAGTAGTCGAAATCCACCGAAATGTCAGCTAGTGTGAAATGAATATTCCAATAACAATGTCAGTTGTGTTCGTCATTAAAATAGTAACTTATCAACAAATGCCGAGTTTAATAGAAAGTTGGTTTTTGGAATTACAATTCTTATAATGTCCCATTGATCAATATTACATCGAGTGCGTGTCAAGCAGTAACTAGAAGTACTATGTTATACACACGTCATTGTTCGTTCTATCTTACGTTCTGGACTGGCTAGTCTTTTCATCCCTTCGAGATAAGCAGAGTGGTACCAGATTTGTTTGGGAGGATAGAAACCCCGAGTCTCGAATTCTTGTTTTTCTTCTATCAGCAAACAACTATTCTCTTCGTAACGCTCTTCCAGGTTCTGCGTTCGTCTATAATGAATCACCAGTCGATCGCCGTAGTTTGTGACACAATGTTCGAGTACTGGAATACTATAATGGAATCTGGAGATTTGGAACAACGACGTGTAAAGCAAATGACGCAGTGGATGTGGAATCATGTGCAAGACGAGCTTTTGAGAGTTTTCAAGCAACATCCCCGAATTGTGCCACTTGCTCCATCTCTCGAAAAGGATGTTCGTGAAGGGAAGATTACACCTGGTCTAGCATCGGAAGTGATGATCAGAACATTCTTAAATACTTGATTTTAACAGATTTTGTAGAAAACTACGGTATTTTCACATAATGAACTGTCTGCTTGATTACATGTATAGTTGTGTATATTGTAAAGTCTAACAGATTTAGCTCGAGTATAGCTGTAAATATTGCCAAGGGATACGAGCAAAAGATCTTTTTACAGTAAGTTTAGACGAGTAAATGCCTTATCTGTATGATCTACATGGTGATGGTGTGGTATCCTTATTGATACAGCTTAGAGAAAAGTATAATAACAATTTCACATTTATAATGAAGGCTATTTGACATTATATCGAACAGATGTGGCTGTGAATTTTCAAAGCTTTGAAGAAAAGTACGAGGCTAAGATTACGCGTTTGCAATATCTCTTTCGAAATTGACGTTGCTCTCAAATTTATCCGTTAAATCAACAAATTGGGCCGGCCTACAAAACAGGACCGTACCACTGGCATTTCTCTGTAGATTTGGAACTTTTTTTGTTAAAAAGGCTTATCATTATGTTGGTTACTTGAGGTTTGTTGTTAATGAGTTTCAATACAGTTTATTCCGCAACTCTTTACGCTGTAAGTGTTGCTTATGTCCTCGTCTACTACTCGTTTTGCTGCCGACTATGCAAAGAGAGTGGCCGGATGCAGGAAATGTAAGCTGCAGCTGCCGAAAGGGGTTAGTTTTATTACGTTGAAGTTGTTCATTCGTCCTTATTAGTCGACATATTGATCTTAATAGTAAACACTTCACTGTTATGCCGAGATATTTGCAAAACTTAGACCTTAGGCGAGGTCCAACCGCGACTACCCTTTTCGAGGGCTCACCCGTTACGTACGTCTCCACTGAGGCCCTCAATTTGCCTTTCAGCTAGTTTTCTGCCTAATGGTAACCATCAGCAAATATCTCAGCATCATAATGGTTGCACTTCACATCTCACATTGGTTTGGAAAATAATTATAGGCAGTAAATAAAAAGTTTACGTGGTAAGGACTTCAATCCGTCATCCTCTATTTGGAATCCTGTCCATTTCCATCTATTTGCCAAATGCTACTCATTTGCTTCCCAGAAGGTAGAGGGTTTAAAAAGGTGTTCAATATTACATAGGAAATGATGATGAAAGGAAATTAGTAGTTGATTGGCTATTAGGAATTGGATTAAGAGTTATAATATTCAGTTAATTGATAAGTCATTTGTTAGTAAATTTAACCTTACGTGGCTCTATACTTGAAGTTCATCGAGTGAGCAGTTCTAACAAGTTTTATGGTTGTTCTTCAGTGTTCTATACAAAAAAAAATCGTGCCACTTGTGAATTCCATCTTTTTTGCCCCATTTTTGTTTAATTTATTATGCTTTCAGGAGATGCGCCTTGCAAAGATTATACCAAATCCATTTGTGCAAAACACAGAGGGGCCTCCTCCAGATATGAAGCAGTACTATCATCCTCATTGCTTGTTCGAAATGTTTTTCAAGGCACGTGCAAGCACCAAGGTTATTGAGAGTACGGATGATATCGAAGGTGAAATTTGTTTAAACCATTAGATTAACTACATTGGCAACCACTGATGATGATAATAATAAATATATGCGGTTGACACCACGGATCTTTCCCATAGGAGGGTTCCCTATAGCCGCTTAGTCGCGAGGCTACGTGGTACGTCCCCAGGTGGCAGATAGAGGGTAAATCGCGGACCAAAAGCAACCATTGCTTCCCAGAGATGCAGATGGATCCAGGAGATGGACTCCCTATTTCTGCTGCGCTGATTTGGCACATACTTTCTGTATTTGCTAGACGTATTCATGCATGCGTGTGTGGGTACATTCTTGCTTATGCGGATTGTATTATACGAGTCAATTCGGACAAAAGCCTGCAATCAAGTGACTGGGAAGTAAATGAGAGGCGGTTAAGAGTCGCCTCCAACAAATAAGCTCCATGTCCACTCTGGGAGAGCCCGGCAAGCTACCTGTGAGTATACCCAGCCTCCACGTTCAAAGCTCCTAAAGAGTGAAGAGCAGCAGTAATTGTCGTAGATGCAGAGGACATTCGCAAAGCCCACCGAAGCATCGCCAATTGCAAGACCAAGATGATTGCGCTCCGATGCCCAGACGGAATAGTTATAGGGTCCAGAAAGGCAATGGAGAAAGTCATTCACGAATAATACTCAAATCTCTTCGATAGCCACGTCCACCTTCCGTCATATGAAATAAAGGTGGATGGATATGTTGTACCACCGGTTCTCCCTTCCGAAATCCGACATGCTGTTTCGTCGGTGAAAAGTCGAACAACACTAGGTCTGGACAGGATAAGATCTGAACACCTGAAAACTTTCTGCTAGCCCTCTTAAACATACAGGATCGGCTGTTCACACGTTTCCTCTCTGAATGCAAGATCAGGCCTCTACTCAGTGGAAGACTGATTAGTAGGACCATGCTTTAGTCCAAGAAAGGTGACCTACACGATATCGGCAACTATCGCTCAATCTGTTTGCTATCTGTGGTCTACAAACTTTTCACTCGAGTCATCCTAAACAGGATTGACAGAACACTGGACGAAGGATAGCGATGTGAGCAAGCAGGATTTCGAAAGAGATTTAGTACGATAGACCACATCCACACGATAACAAGACTCATTGCAGTATCACGAGAGTACAAAAGACCGCTCTGTCTCACTTTCATCGATTTACAGAAGGCCTTTGTTTTAGTTAAGATAGAAGCAGTCTTGGAAGCTGTTAATAGTCAAGGAGTCCCTACTCAGTACATAAAGGTTCTTCGTGAGCTGTACAAAAATTTCACAGCTAAGATATCACCATTCTACGACGATATTAACATTGACGTGAAAAGAGGAGTTAGGCAAGGCTATACCATCTCCCCAAAATTATTTACCGCCACCCTACAGAACGTCTTGCGAACATTGGAATGGGATAATATGGGAGTGAAAACGGACGGTCGGCAGTTACACCATCTTCGCTTTGCAGATGACGTCGTCCTTGTAACACCAAACATTAGCCGAGTGGAACGTATGCTTGACGACTTTGATAACGCCTGTGGAAGGATTGATCTTCGACTAAATTTCACAAAAACGATGCTCATGGAGAACGGATTGGTTTCGCATGCCCCATTCACGCTCAACAGACCGAATATCTCCGAATGCTCCAGTTATATCTATTTAGGTCGGGAAATCAATATGATGAAGGACTTAGCTCCAGAGCTGAACAGAAGAAAACGAGTGGCTTGGGGAGTTTCCAAGAGCATCGAAGATGTAGTGAAGAAAACAAAGAACACCCGACTCCGTGCCCACCTTTTCGACTCGACGGTACTTCCTGCCCTAACGTATGCGTCAGAAACCTGGTCGCTGCGTAAGCAGTATGAAAGATCGCTCACCGTTATCGAATGCGCATTCGAAAGTACAGAGGCAGGAGTTTCCCGTTTCACACAAGTAAGGGTTGGGATTCGAAGCTCCGATCTGCGTCAACTATCAAAAATCGAAGATGGCATTCTGTACGCCAAGCAGTCGAAGATAAGGTGGGCCGGACTCGTAATGCGTATGAATGACAACCGATGGACAGGTGGCGTTAGTGACCGGATTCCTCGGGATGTTAAACGCACTGCAGAAAGTCCACCGGCTCGATGGTTAGAGTTCTTCACGGAAGGCCTAGAAGAAGGATACGACGCTCGACCAGTCCCTAGAGGGAGCAGAACCCACTGGGCTACTCTTGCACGCGACAGGGAAAAGTGGTAGATTTACTGGAGCCGGCTCGAGTTACTCGACGATCAACGGGAGCACATGTGATTGGTGATAGTGCTTATTTCACAGAGACTGCCGATGAGTTTGCATTTTGCTTATGAAATCTATAAGTTAGTGAACCTCCTAACGATTTACCGCCGCGTATCTAGGAGGTGCTCTTATGTGTTGGACTGCGATGTACAGCGTGGGGATTCGGCACCCCGGCAGGATCTCCCATGCTGAGAGAGAGAGTTCGTCGTTTCCATCAGGAAGCCTGGCTAAGAGTAAACCGGTACCAGGATCCACCACCGTCCTGGTATCAAGGTCGCGTGGTGGCAAATCTCTCTCTGATCCACAAGGGCTGCGACTGCCTGTGGTGGTGAGGATCTGGGGCAGACTTTGGCTGGCCTTACCTGAAATTACAGGGAATCATGATGGCTAAATCGACAAAACAGGGAATAGGACCATTCAACTATTCAACTATGTAAGTGTAAGTCAGTGAATATAAGTTTCATCGGTGGAGTTTCATGCGAGTGTCAATTGTCATCAATTTCTTCCTTTTAGAATGCAATAGTGCTTTAGGTTTCGGCGATCTAAGGGTAGAGGACAAGGAAGTAATATTGAAATTTATCGATGAGCTGGACGAATTGCGTGCTCAAAAAGAAGGTGGAACAAAGAAGACTCCGAGGAAGATGGGAAATACCTCACCTGCTAAGGTGGCAATGGCGATGTGATTGTTACCGTTTTTATTTCTGCGTGTTGATGGAATATGTCTTCAGATCTCCACTTCAGCGACGGAAACTATTGCGCAGGAAACGTCAGAAGGGTCTAAAGACCAAGGCGCAAAAGAAAAGCACTCATCCAGAAGAAAAAATGCGGAGAAAGTTGCGCTGGAAAAGGAAGTCAGTGGCGCTGCAAAGCAAGGTATAGAAGCCAACGAAGACTCAAAATATAACTCTTTTAATAAGGTAGTTTTTTCAGTTTTATTTATCCGTGGTTTTTATTTTTACTGCGACTATAAAATTAACAGTTTAGTTTGTCAAGTTATGCGATGTTATAGCATCATTGTCTAAGTATACTGATAAATCTGCAGCTGTAAAGATGTTCATCACTCGAGGTAAGTTCTAACACCTTTGTGTAGATCTGGTTATTTATTTGTTTGCTCACTAAACAATTCAAAAGTAAATATTGTATTATAACTACACCTGGAAGGATAAAGAAAAGATGAAGTTCTCGGCGATGATCTCTCTCTAAGAGGTGCGCCGTGCATTTTCGACTTCAATAAGCATCGTTAGAGGTGATTTGAGTGCATACCTGGTCTTTCCAATAACACGCGGTCGCCTAACGACATATAGAACCAGTGCTGCTATCCTCCTTGACAAGTTTGGTACCAATTTGCCGACCTCGGGAGATGGAAGGCTTGACGAGCCACTTGCGCGTGGATCGATCTCATGTGTCCGTCACAGGGCATTTTCGACCACTGAGCCACACGCGCCATAGTAAATGAGAGTACAGAAAATACAAGTAAGGAGAAAAATTCGCTTACGCCTCGATGGCGAAATTCTTGTGCCCTAGTGTTCTTATTCTGATTGATGCGGTTTATTGTGAGTTGAGATATGTATATTTAAGGTTATAACTGAAATCCAAGATTATTTTACTTACTAGAAAAATTCATTAGTGCTTTTCCTTTGCTGTTGTTTTTTAATTGTTACACTGTTGAGTGTGTAGACCAGACTGCGATTATAGATGATTACGATGGTGATATGCTCACGCTCATACGTCTTCTTTTGCCTAGTGTTGATCAGAGAGTCTATAATGTCAAGGAGAAGCAAATTATCAACCATTTTGCGACGGTTCGATCTTTAACACTGTTTCGGCTTTTTATCGTTTGTCTTTCTTTCGTAATAATTAGCAGTGCTCATCGTTGGGAGATTTGGCTGCTACATTGCTACGGAATCCAATTTATTAATACTTCGTTTTCTAACATGGTTCAATGGCGATTTGTGCCCCAAGATCAATCCTGTTGGCGGGTTAATGTTAGTAGTAGTGGTAGATAGAAAACTGGCTGAGAAGAAGGCGAAAGAAAGCACCTGCATAGTGGTGAACGCGTTATCTCTCGGAAATGCTAGTAGCGTGTTGAATCCTCACCGCAGACACCTGCGCTCTGAAGTTTTGCAAATATCTCAACATCATCGTGGTTGAAAAGTTAACATAGTGATTTCAACTTGGTTTTTTTTTGCTTTTTTCTATCTCTGTACATTACAGATTTATGCGCTGTCTGTTGATGATTTACTTGATTCGTATAAAAACAGTGGTGATGTTTCAAAAACTATCCGAGATGTCATTGAGAAAAATAATTTGAGTAAAGTAAGCAAAGGGAACTGGAGTATTCAGAAGGTTTGAATTCCATCATATTGGCCATAAGATTTCGTTTAACGTTGAGATTTAATTTAAGATCGATCGTTGGCTGAATAAGCTTACAGAGTTGAGTAAGGACGACGAACAGATTGCACATCTGAAGTTCGCTGCGAAACGGTTGGCGTTGTACTTGTACTATATCACTGATTTTCTACATAGTTTGATGCTTGTAATACTTATTGATACGTTAGTGCAGAAAATTGAGGTTATTTGTTAAAAACTAAATTTTGGAAAGATTGTCTTTTAAATAATTCGTCGTTCCCATTTCCGAAGTCTCTTCAGTGTTGAATGCAAAAAGACGCACACTTATGAAACTGGTGTAAAATTTCTAATTTAAATGACAGAGTAGAAGTTTTATCGTTCCGGACATGTTAGAATTTTTTAGAAATCAAAGCACTGAAGTCTGCAACGAAGCTGAAATCCACACGTGAAAACATATTTGGAAAGTAAATGAAGTTCTGTCCTTAATCTTTTAAGCTTGTCTCCAGTGGAAATACAATACCTTCTTCGTTTGGTCATGAAGGACCTTCGCATCAATGCAGGGGTGAAGCATATATTAGATGGACTGCATTCTTCGGCCTACGAAGCATTTCAGAATTGTCGTGATTTGGCAGAAATAGTTGAAAGGCAAGTGTTTGTTCAACTCAGCCTCCGAAATGTGATTACTTTTAATATTCTTAATTAATTAATTTTGATTTTATAAATTTATGGCTACCATATTTCCACATTTTGACTTTTTTGGTTCTATGTTTTAGGTGCAAGAAGGATCAATTCGCCAAAGTACCATCTGTGGTTGAAGTCAGCATACGCTTAGGAACTCCAGTACTGCCTATGCTAGTCAGTTACAAAGAGGTTTTAATCATAGTAAGGACCGATTTCAACCTGTCTGAACATCATTGTTACATTTTATAACTTTTTACTTGCTGTCTTTTATTTCATAGACAGGTATTATGTGAACTACGACCACAACGATGCTGAGGTGTTGGCAAAACTCAGACTCTAAACTAGATTCGAACCCGCGATTACCTTTTCCATGAGCTCATATGTTACCCACTGCACAACTGAGGCCCTTGCTTTACCTTTCGCTCAGCTGTGTTTTTACCTTAGCGGTTCTATTAGCATAATACCCTGCTGTGGAAAAAAGTGATAGGCAGTAAGTAAAAGTCGAAACATTGTTATTTCGACCGCAGATTTTAACTTTACTGGGTTCAATGACGATTCATTCCCACCAAATCATTCCTGTTGAGGGGTCATTGCTGTTAGTAAAGTTAAAGTTAAAAAACTGACTGAGACAAAGGCAAAGCAAGGCTCCCGGTAGTGCAGTGGGTAACACATGAGCCCCGGAAAGGATAATCACGGGTTCAAATCTTGGGATCTATGTTTTCTAGTTATCTCAGCATCGTTGTTACATATCTCTATAACATTTGTGTGTAAGTGATGGAGAACTATAGCTTAACTGGGTAACTAACTGAGAAAGTGCAACCTCATGGAAGGGATTTTGTGATTCACTTCTGTTAAAACATCAGCAATGGTGTGAGTTATTTGCTGTGCATAAGTGGACTGCAACCTATTCCTTTTACACTTTCACGACGAGTGGCGCCTGTAGGTATCACAATGGCTTTGTGAGAGTGGACAGCATAACATCTATATGTCTCATTTTCTTTCCGGTTGTTCATTTTAACACATAGGACTATTCTCCTATACTTTTGTTATCACTTGATATCTTGTAAAACACGTATTAGGTGTCGGGCAAAGCTCTACGCTTCGCTTAGAAATACAAAAAAAATGTTTTCCGAATGAGTTCTCTAAAGAAGAATTGGTGCTAATCGACTGCCATTTCAATTCCAATTGCTATAGTGAATGGTAGTTGTCAAATAGAGTGTGCAGGCATAAAAAATGCTGAAATAGAGACCCATAAGTTGCAGAACAATTCCAAATGTGGATAGCAATCTGTTTGTATGATGAACCAATAGTTACATCTAAAAATACCATCATGAATATCATTCATGTCCATGGAACGATAGACCAAAGGCTTTTCTACAATCCGTTCATGTCCACAACGTTGTCTTCTAAGTATCGAAAATTCATCGTTTATTTTCAAGACCCCAGCTAGTCCGTAAACGCTGACAGTTAGCCGTTAACTAACGCGAGAGCGTTAAACAAATTAAAATTTCTCAGCTGGGGTTTAACTTTGTTGATTGAGGTTAATTTTATTGTTCACTTATTATTTGCAATAAAAATCGTTAGGCTTGATCGGCCTTTACTAGCAGTGCAAATTTTTCACCACGTTGAACGTCTGTCTACTAGTAAGCAATAGATCACTCTCAGATTTTTTGTCAGCTCTCGTATCTTGAGCAGCGAAGCGCTTAGTTACCTTGTAGGTTGTCATCCTAGAGGACGCTTCCGTCCTTTTAGAATCCACTCGTTTTTTCGTCCATCTTTCGCCGTATCTTCTCATTAGAAAATGATCGTGTAAAGTCATCAATAAATCGAAACATTCACTATCGTCATCGATGTTCAGTGTAGGTTGGAATTGAAAATTATTTAACTCAAGTCGTTGTTTCCCTATAATGGACGGATTTAAAGAATGTTCCATAACCAGGCTGAACCGTGCAAATCGGTCGAACAAGCAATGAAAAGATGCATCAATGGGATGTTCGCGGAGATAAAATATGATGGTGAAAGAGTTCAGGTAGTCGAAATCTATTCATTTTCATATTTTTCACTTCATTTTCTCACTCATTTTTTGTTTTTCATTCGTTTTAGTTTTTATTTCAATAATCACACGACGATATGACCTCTTTAAGAGCCACACAACACTAAAGAGCCGCTTCCAAATTTAAACCAGCAGGTTTCATCCCAGAACAAACTCTACGAGTTGCAGTAAAAGCCACTAAAATATACAGATCTCTGGCTTCATGATAGAAGTTCATCACCATGATGAAATCTCAATTTACTAGGCCCTAAGAAACATAGCTTCTCACTTCTCCCTCCTGAGGTTCGTATTTCAAAAAAAAAGTTGAACAAGTGGAGGTTTTTTTCACCGGGACACGTTATATTTTTCCAACGTACCGTTGGTTTTCGCAGTTACAAAGGTTGCAGAGGGCTTTTTGAAAATTTAGACGATTTATTCAACTTTTTGGCGATTTCAGTCCTAAACAAACTCAAAATTATGAGAGTTTTGTAGAAAGCACATACATTTTTAAACAGATTGAATAGTACCTTTTGTACCCTTCTTTCTTATCTAGATGGATTTGAGCAGGTAAATCGTGAGGTTAAAGGATAATGGATGAAGCATTCAGCGTTCATCAATACTTGATGAATGTGCCCTACATTCTACATCGTTAAGCCTCTTAAAGGTGGTTGAATGCATATCTGATCTACAGAATGACTTGCGAGAAAACATCGCGTAACCAGTCAGTGTCCCTACCTGGCAAGTATTGCACCAATCTACCGACCCCGAAGGGATGGAAGACTTGATTAGTCCGGAGCGCGGAATTGAACCAACCATCAGGTGTTTATTGCTGGGCCACTCTAATCTTTTTGCTACACGTGTAATTATGAAGTTCCGCCTGGAAATACCAGCTGGCCAAAGACGACCATGTATTTTCGCTGTGTCACGAGTTGAACAGTAAATTCATTATGCCCATAAGTATTGCCATGTGTACGTTCATAGGTGCATTTCTGTACCTGCAGACTGTATCCTGCACATTGATTCGACAAAAAATCTCTAGTGAAGTCATTGAGACTATCATATGTAGGAGTCGGTTTGTCTTCTTATTTTTGCTTACTCAGTAGGAACGCACTTTAAGCTATACACCGACATACCCATTCTCACAGTAGAGTTCGAGATGTGTGGATATTTCTATCAGAAAGAAATTAAAAGTTAGAGGTCTAATGCGGGAAATTTGATGGCCTTCATGTCCATCAACTAAGTGAAGCACACTGGACAGCTCACTGGCTCACTGGCTGGCAACATTAAGTGCATGAAATTAGGGGTGTCCAGTCCATGATTAACAGGATTGGGTACCAAAGGTTTTGAAGAAGAACGATTGAAATGTAAGAGAATGATTACGAGTCTGCACACGTTTTGTGTTCGAAAACACAGACAAATACGCGGCAAAAAAGTGAAGATGATATAGAAGCAACCAGTAAGTTTTCGTCCGTTATTCTCGAATTCTATTCGATTACATGAGTGATTATTACTTTTTATATTTCATTTTATTTGACCCGTCTTCACATTTGCTGTGCGGTTCCTAGCACTTCTTATTTTCAGTTCGTTTCCTCACAACCATTGTCCACAAAGACTTTCCAACGTTATGTGTGGAGCTTCGGTTGCTTCTTGAGGATTTTCATTTCATCTTGAATGTCGTAGAATGCTGATCGAGCAATTCTGTCTGGAGTCCTGAGATAGCCGGGCTAGAGCGTTCCCAATTGGATTACAGAGACTGATTTTTTTTCTCACATAAGTCCGCTACCAATTTTCCGACCACAGAAGGATGAAAGGCTTGGTTGGCCCGGAGCTGAATCGAACTAGAACCATGCTCGTGATGACGGGCATCACTACCACTGTGCTATCTTCCCCATGACTGAATTTACGCATTATAATATTATAAGCTACATGTGCGGCAGTGGTAGGAGGCGCCCTGCAATACACACATGGGATCGATCCCCGAGCTCCAGGTTCACCAAGTCTTCCATCCCTCTGGGGTCGGCAATTTGGTACCAGATTTGTCTGGGAGTATACCAGCACTGGCTCGACACATCGGTAGGCAACCGCGAGTCAGTTTAAAGGCCAGCTGTGCACTCAGTCACCTTCAACGATGCTTAGCGAAGTCGAATGCATGTCACATCCTTCAGGGATTGACCAACACCGAGAGTTTTATCCTTTATACATTTTTAATACTGGGCTGGTGCTAGTATTTTTTGAACAGATTATTAGTCAGGTTTTCGAAAAACAGAGAAATTGATAGCGAATTGTGAAAGAGAAATGATATTAGAGGAAGGAATCTGTTGAGTATGACTACACTGTTCACCAGTATAGCTATATTCACAACATTGAAAATGTTGATAAAAATGTCATCTTGTAGTAAAGCAAATCACTGCGGTAATAATTACTATTGTTAATATAGTCTTCTCCGTGAAATTCCACAGTAACCATGTCATCCAAACAAAATTAGTTGACGTTGACATATTAAATCGCACAGTTTTATATCATTTATGATTTTTGCTTTAAATTTAGTAGTATGTTAAAATCCCCACTTATGAAATTTCAGGTTCACAAGGCCGGAGCTTCTTACTCGTATTATTCTCGCAGTCTAAAACCTGTACAACATCACAAGGTGCAATGACTTTTCATCGTTCTTTGAAGTCAGCTGTAGTCCTTCGTTACCTATGTGTCGTTTATAGACTAAAAATGTGTCCAAGTATATTATATGTTTCTAATAACCCAATAGTTCGTTATAAGCAGACAATTTAAGATTTCTCACCTGGAGAATGTCATACCAAAGGCGTTTCCTAAGGCGTCGGAGTTGATAATTGATGCCGAGGTGCGTTTTGAACTAATGGAGTCCCTCCAGTTTTCGTTAGAACGTTTGGTTTTCTATTTTTGTCAGGCCCACTAAGTTTTTTAGTTTCTCTTTTAAGATAAGTAGTTTAATCTCTGAGGCCTGTGAAATGATTACATTTCAGATTCTGCTTGTTGACAATGCGACGGGTAAGCCGTTGCCATTTGGAACGTTGGGTGTACATAAGAAAGAGAAGGTCATTTCTTGTTAACGTAATCGTAATCTTAGACTGAAAAAAAATTAATGTAAACTCGCATAGTTTCTCGAAATTAGGCTGCAGAATGGTATGTTTGAGATGTCCTTGAATGAGATTGAATGAATAAAAAATATTACACTGCTAGTTCGATTCAGCTCAGGATCAACCAAACCTCTCATCCCTCCGGGTTCGGGAAATTGGTGCCGGACTTGTCTGGGAAAAATCACTCTCTGCAGTCCAATTGAAAACGCCTTAACCCGGCTATCTCAGAACACCAGATAGAGTTGATCGACCAGTATTCTACGACATTCAAGATGAAATGAAGATCCTCTAGCAGCAAGCGAAGCCGTACGTAAAAAGAAATTGGGAGGCCTTCGTGGATGATGGATCCGAGGAAACGAAGTCGATGCGAGGAGTGCTCCGATCCGCACAGTCGATGAGAAGACGGACCAAGCAAATGTAAAGATATGAGATACCTCTCCTAATGGTTTACCGCTTCATCGTGGCTGGAAGGTGTTCCTAGGTGTTGGGCTGCGATGTACAGCGAGGCGGTTCGTCCAACCGGCAAGATCTCCCAAGCTGAGAATGGGTCCGACGTTTCCATCAGGAAGCCTAACGGAATAAACCAATACCGGGGTCCACTACCGTCCTAGTACCAAACTAGTCGCATAGATGCAAATCTTCCTATAATCCACAAGGCGGGGAAACCCTGTGGTGGTGACGACTTGGGGCAGACTTTGGCCTGGCTGATCACGGGCCTCCAGGGAACCACAATGGCTAAACCAGCAGAACTCCTGAAAAGTGGAACTTTTGCTGGGGCCCACACAACGTATGAAGACGGGCCATCGAATTATCCAAGTAAGTACGATGTACTACAAAAGTGAATGAAAATTATCGCTTCTGCTGCCGCAACGTAATTGGAAAATTCAAAGTAGTCCTTTGAAGTTTAAATTTATTCAGTGTTGAAGAAACGTATTAATTTTATTCTTGTGAACGTTTCGAATCGTTTTAGTTCAAAGACGCTTCTGTATGCTTGTTCGTGTTCGATATTCTGCTGTACAATAATGAAGATCTGATGATGAGGCAAGTTATTGGCAACGATTTCAAGAATTCCTTACTAAAGTATAATTTCTGTTGAATGTTACTGGTTCAATCAATTTATATATAAATATTTGCGTACTAAGCTGAGTGGTACATTTCCTTTAGGTTTTCTAAAATCTTTTCGAGTTACCACACTCTAACGTTTCTCGACTATTGTCTGGTAGACATAATCGTAATCAGTCCCATATTTTACTAGAAGTGAAAAAGTGAATTATTCAGTTAAAGCTCTAGATATGATCGTTTAGATCCTTATCAGAACGGAAGAAATTGCTGGAATCCCAAATGATGGAAGTTAAGAATCGTGTCGTGATGTCAAACTACCAACTCATTCGCAATGGAGTAGGTCACTGTGATATGTTTCCATCCTTAATTTCGGGCTGCATTTTATTGTTAATACATTTTACATTAGTTCGTTTCCGTGAATTTCCAAACCACAGGTTTTTTTTAGGATAACGGCACTTTGAAAACAATGATTTGGAAAGCAATTGATGAGGGTCTAGAAGGACTTGTCTTAAAAGTAAAGAAATAGCAGTTCTTTTCATATGATCCAGTGTTATTTTCCCTAAGTCTTAAATGGTAGTTACATGTGAATCTATATTTCAGGACACTAAATCAATTTATGAGCCAGGAAAAAGGCACTGGCTGAAGGTAAAAAAGGATTACTTAGAGGACGGACGAATGGCCGACACGGCTGACCTTCTTCTTCTTGGAGCATACTTTGGAACTGGCAGTAAAGGTTCGCCTTAATCTTGTTTGTTAACAAGCAAAGAATAGTGCTTACATAATGATCAAGCAAAACAAACATCGTACTCGTTCGTTCGCGTCGTAGTCGTTCGCGATGAGTAGTTTTATGTCGCGGCCAATGAGCCATCGTCTAATTTCTCGCGGCCTGAACTTTGAATTGAAATTAACTGCTACCAGTCACCTCAATCCCTTAAAAGCTCACTCTTGAAAGTGTGCACAGGATTTCAAGACGGACTTGCGCTTCCAATCATCGGTTGTAATTATCCGGTATTCCTCAGAAAGTTTAAAACCCCTTCTCTCTGAACTTTTCGCTCCACATTTCACATTTTCAATGCAGTTTGGAATTTCTGTTGTTGTTACTCGATATTTCCACATTCCACTTATCCTTGATGTTTCCCATACATTTTCCCATGTTTTCTATGGAATTCTGGGTTCTTATGTTTCGCTAACATATGCCACGGATCACTCATACGTTTTATGCAAAGGAGGTTCTTTTCGACTTATTTTGCCCTATTATTTCTCCATTCCACTTTTCTAATCATTATATAATCCATCCAACAGAGATTTTGTGGCAGATGTCGGCAGATAAAATCTGTATTCATTCTACATTTGATAAATTAGAAAGGAGCCTTGGACGAGTTCATTCGTGTAATTTGAATCCAGCGACAAGTACTAGCATGTATATCGTATTTGGTCACTGAGGTTCGAGATGTGGGCACACTTTGTCACCAGGATAAGGCGGTGAATTATTTAAAAGACTCTTATAGACGTATTCGTAATACGTTTAGGGACTACATGTCTGCACAGTAACCATTCATTAAGGTGTTCGCAAAACCCGTGTTTTCGAAAACTAGAAAAACTCAACTCTTGTTCTCACATTTTTTCACCGTTGTAGACGTTGTACTCTACTTTAATTCATTTCCTTTTCAGTCTTTAATTTTTACAGCTGGCACTTTTTAATTCAATATTCCGGTTATTTCCGTTATTCCGTAAAGATTTATTCCTTTTTCTCAGCCAATCTTTTTAGCCTAACGGTGCCCTTAGCAATCACCTGTCAATAGGAATTCTCCTCGAATCCTCTCGAACGAGGGCCTCAGTGGTACCGTGCGTAACAAATGAGTCCCCATGTCGCCGTTCTATCTGGCCTGGGTCAAAATTTTGTACAATCTCAGCTTAACTGGGTTTAATGCCGAAATATCTCAGCATCATTATAGTTGCATTTCACATAATACCCTGCTGCGGAAACATAATGGGCAGTAGATGAAAGTTATAAATTATGGTTTCGTCTGCAGCCTCCGCTTCACTGGATTTAATGCCAATTTGTGCTCCTTAGATCATTCCTGTTGACGAATGATTGCTGATGGCATCGTTAGGGTAAAAGACTGCCTGAGAGAAAGACTGAATGGAGGCCTCAGTGGTGCTGTGTGTAATGCGTAACACGTGAGTCCGCGGAAAGGGTAGACGGTTCGATCTGGCCTGGGGTCTAAGTTTTGCAAATATTTCAACGTCAATTTTTATTCACTCTAAAATCTCACACACAATTTGGGGCTGCAAATTCTGGAAACTTTACAATTTAAAGTCTTCATATGGAATCAACAAGGGAACGTTTTAACTCGTCTCTGTCCAAGATTGAAAAGAGAATCAACTTGACCAGCATTCATAAAGAAGACGAAATCCTCAAGAAGAAACCAAAACAACGCGCGAAGTGTTCAAAGACCATTGTGGACGATGAATGCGCGGAAAACGAATCGAATGCAAGAAGTGCTGCGAGTCCCACAGTAGGTGTGATGATAGGTCATGTAAAATGAAATAATCAAACATCCATTTATATGTTTGTGTTTACATCTACATATAGTTAAGGTGTTTCGTTTCAACGACCGCTTTACTATTGTCATTTTTTTGCTACTGTCAGGAGGTACAATGTCAGTATTCCTGATGGGCGTCTACGACTCAGAATCGAGCAGTTATCGTACAGTGACGAAGTGTGGTAATGGCCACTCAGACGACGATCTAAATGCAATTAATGAAGAGTTGAGAAACAAGGTACTTAAGTTGGTTCAGTAGTTTAAACCAAGATTACCAAATCTGTCCAACGACCATAATTTTTTTTACGACTTACGTGGAAAGGTCAGAATTGTAGGACCTATCGCAGGTGACTCGTATTGACCGTGACTACGATCGTCTACCGAAATGGTTAAGGTGTTCTCGCAGCCTTGTGCCAGATTTCGTGATTGTTGATCCAGAAAATGCTCCTGTGTGGGAAATCACAGGTACGACATTGTTTAACTTTTTTTCTTTTGAAATTCTAAAATTTGCACGTGAAAAGCCGTACGTGGAAATAAAATCGACAAAGAGGAGGCAGTGCAGCACCCGTGTATTGATCGGCATTTGTTGGTCGAAAACAAGCTTTTATTGGAAATGGGAGACTAGAAAACGCAGAGTGATTATGAGTATAGCGATATTATGAATACTTATATACAAATGTAGTAGTTTACTCTTCGTGGATGGATTCCGCAGTGTGGATGGAAGTATTTCCAACCAAATTTTCATGCTAGTAAATATCTCAGACTGTAGTCGTACCAAATAATTCTCTGTGCTCATGTTGGGCGAACACGGGGTGCTAATTCATCCTTTATTCTGGCAAAGCTGACGTTTCGGCGGCATCGCCTTCAAAGTCAAGTGTTCTCTACACCAGTGATCTCTCCAAATAAAAGTTGTCGGCTCCACAAAAGTGTTCCTTTCTCGTATACTTCATGCTGGCGAACATTTCGTTCTGCTTGCTTTGTAGTGCAGCTCGAAGTAGTTCCATTCAGACGTCTTGTACTCGTTGGTTACCCTGTGGTTGACCGCATATCTCGTGAAGTCGCTTTCGCTTTATGAACTTCATCACGACTTGGTTTTGTAGGCAGCGCGGAGAAAGTGTATTTTCTGATCTTTTGTCTCAGTGACAATGCTTCTTTTACAAGTCGGAAGTATCTTGCTAATACGTCTTGTACTAATTCCCACGACGGACCTGTTAACCTCAGCATTGATCAAATAATTCTTTATGTTCTTGTTCAGCGAACACGAAGTTTTACTTTATCCTTTATTCCGGTAACGCTGACCTTTGAACGGAAATAGTTGGCTCTGAAGGCGATACTGCCGAAACGTCAGCTTTACCAGAATGAAGGATAAAGTAACACCTCGTGTTCGCTTAACAAAAACAGAGAATTATTCGACCAATGTCGAGGTTAATAGAAAGAAGTTTAATATAATGAATTAGCTCTTGGAAAACGTGGCATTTCCATCTGACTAATGGAATTTAAGTTTAAGTGTGGACGGAGAGCGATGTTGTCCTTATCCTCAAATTTAAGTGGTTTCAAGAGCTGGTCTCATTATAACCAACGCCTTGATTCTGTCAAGTATTGTGTCTGAGAAGCGCACAAGAAATGGTTTAGAATAGTTTGTAACAAATAAATTGTATATTTAATCTGGTAAGCACAGGACAGAGCAAGCTATTTAGGATCACATCCACTCCCTTAGCTTATACATAAATATCTTTCACTAGAAATAATAGAAACAACTTCATCCTGTTGACCTCAAAGGTATTCTGTTAAAGTGTCATGTGGGTCAATGATTGAAGTACTGCTACAATGTCACTGGGCATTCTAGGCTGCCTAAACCTGTAATGATTATGAATATAGGGCACGCCTACAGTGGATACTTCAGATGAAAGTCTAATTCTGCTTACTAACAGAATTGTATACATTTTAGGCGTAGCAAAATGAGAACAGACATTCGATTATACGGTGTTTGTGATATTAGGAAAGAACCGTTTCTTGAAACGTTCGAGTAGAGAAGAGAAGTTGAAGCCTTCTCCTATGCGAAGCTAGCTCTACATCGATTCCTTCGAATAAATAATGTCCAGAATCGAACGTTTGCCATTAAAAGAACATTGATTAATATCAGTCTTGATAGTGGTGATAAATCAACCAACAAAGTCCGTTAGATAGGACAGATCACACGCAAAAGTTATATTATCACTTACTTTACATGATGTAATCCTTCATTTCTCATTCTTGTGTTTCCACATACCCCTTATAATTCTTGTGTACTGGAATACTCTCATCTCTTAACGAAATTTGCAACCTAAGCCGGGTGGAAGTATAGAGCACATTCTCCGTGAAGGTTTTTTGTCTTTCATCTTTCCACAGGTCTCTTACAGTAAGTGTATACTTCTATTATTAGCACACATTGCTTTTCTATCTAATGAAGTTGACCGTTGTTGATGAGATATTTATTCTCGTAAGCAGTATCTGTATTTAAACCTTATGACTGATACAGCTATTCCATAACCCACTACATTATTGTTAGTGCAATTCCTTACGTATACGTATTCCTTCGTCTGAACCGCTGCTGTACTGTGTATAGGTTTCTGAATTTCATTGCGCGATTGTTGTGTTGATATTATGTATAGAATATTTCGAAACCGACTTTCCTTGAACCTCGGTATCACTAATCAATATGTATTCTTTCTTTGATGAGCTCACACGAGGTTGATAATGATGCTTATTTTCGGCTAACGTTTCGACGTCCGTCCGGAAGAAAAACAAGTTGTTATCACCGGACATTATCATTATATCCACCATCAGCATCGTGTAAGGGCATCACTGAGTAAGGATGCCTCATTCGAGGAGATGGCTCACTGAAGAAAACCTGAGTCGACACGAAGGCGAAACTGCCACGTCGAGACGAATAACAAGCGAGGACCATCGACTCGGATCATCGGCTCTGAGGAAGACGAAGACGTCGAAACGTTAGCCGAAAATAAACATCATTATCAACCTCGTGTAAGCTCATCAAAGAAAGAATACATTGTGTATAGAGGTCTAATTACCAAAGTTTAAGTTTGAGAGATCTGACGTTACGATGAATCGGAAGGACCTGCCTGGCAGAACGAACACATAACAACGAAATTTCACTGTGGATAGTCCTCAATGCCTGCACCATGTGCTATGGCGCCGTAAAGATATAAAGATAATATCAAGACATCGGAGAATGACTACAAGGAAGATGACACAGAGGAGGTCATCAATGGCAAAGCCACTGCGAAAGTTCTCAGTAGAAGCAATAGAAGGATAAAGGACAAAGTTCTCGGCGTTGATATATCCTCGTGGGATGCGCTATGCATTCGACTTCATTAGGCATCGTTGGAGATGATTGAATGTATGTCTTGTCTTTACTCTGGTCTACCGATGCCTCTCAGACAAGATACCAATTTGCTGACTCCAGACGGAGATGGACTTGATGGACCGGGGGTGCGGAGATCGATCCCATATGTATTGCAAGGACCTCCGACCACTGCGCTACATACGCCCTTTTAGGTAGAAGAAATATGCTAAGCAATCCAATATGCTGCACTGGGTTAGAGTTTGAGTTTTTAAATATTGATCTGTCGAAATATAGACCAGGTGGCGTAAATTATGCCGTTCATCACGAGCGGTGCTGCTTCGATCTGCCATTGGGCTCGCCAAGTCTCTCATTCGTACGGGATTCTGAAATTGGTGGAAGACCAGGGATACAGGGAGAAGCGAGTGGATCAATATTAAAAACATTTATAACGAAGTCGAAACTCTTCAAGCATCAGACGAAACCATACGCAAAAGTTCGAGGACTTTCGTGGAAGATGGATGGCAGGAAGCGATTCTAATGCAAGAGGATCCGAACAGTAGATTGTGAAAACGGATCATGTAGAAAAAAAGCTTGTCGAAATTGCTTTTTTGACATCTGAAATTATAACTCCCAAGTCTAACTTTCTATTAACCTCGGCATTGATTGAATATATCTTTCTACTTCTGTTCAGCAAACACGAGGTGCTATTTTATTTTTTTATTTACCCACAAGCTGACGTTTCGACAGATTTCGCCTTCCTCAGAGCCTGGAAGGGTCAAGTTGACAGCAATCCACTCGGCCAAACACCTCCATAACCAAACAGAGAAAACGCTAAACCAAAATTTCAATCACGTTTAGCATAGTCCTGCACACTCACCCCTTTCTGTGAGTCTTCCACTGAGTATGTCGCGTGAAGATCGACCGCACAGAATTCACATGGAAGCGCAATGTGACCCTCCCATCAGAATAACAGGTTTATATACTGTCCAATATCACGCGTGATAATGAGGCATTCTTCCTTGCGGTTCATTTTCGGATCCTTGGAATTAATCCAGAATGCCTCTAGAGTTTTGCGCGCTTGTGTTCTCGATTCTTGCGCGAGGATCGTAACCCTTACTTCAAAATCTTCTCCGTTATGTTTCTGCGTGCTATGTGTACCTAGTGGAGTATTTGGTTTACGTTTGCCGACTAGGTGTTCTTCTATACGTACGCAGAGTGGTCTACCCGTTTCGCCAATATATTCGTCCCCGCACGCTTTACAAGAGATCAGATAGACTGTACCCGAACTCATGCAGTCACCGTCTCTACCATTGGGGCAAATTATGCAATTTTGCGTTGCACATAGACGGTCATATAGGTGGTTACGAACTAGCTGGCGCCTTAGATTACTCGGTGGTATTTCGATTATCGTTACCGAATTCTCTAGACTGGCCCTTCTTAAACAGCGTTTTATAGATGCACTTACTTCATTTGAAATGAAGGGCAGCATAAACAGGACCTTGTTGTCGCTAGAGTTATCGTTGGGGTACTTCTGGTTTCCTCTACACCTATCGCGAGGCTGCAATTTCGTAGCCATTAAAAATGGCTATTTGTCGCGCCAAGTTTAGGGACTCCTCTCTCTTTTGTCTTGCTGTGCACACGCTGGTAACTGTTCGATACATGTTTCTCACAATCACCCTTTTCGTGTGAGAGGGATGAGAGGAGAGGTAATGAACTAGGATGTTTTTACTACTTGGCTTTCGATACCACTTCGTAATGTAGCCGTTTTCTGATAGGCTGATTTGCACGTTCAGAAATGGAAGCCAGTCTTCTTTTGGTTTCTCTCGGGTGAATTTAATATACTCTGACTGTGTGTTCAACAACTCGAAACATCTGTCCATTTCTTCTTGCGTTGAACAAATGACCAAGCAGTCATCTATATATCTACAGTAGAGTAACGAACCGAGGTCGATTACTGGCGCTTCCACCTTAGACATGAATGCAATGGCAAGGCTTGGTGCCAGTCGTTGTCCCATTGCCAGCCCTCTCATTTGTACGTAATACCTCCCGGACCATCTGAAAATTGAGCAGTTTTCCTTTAAGAGTGTCATCAACTGCTGAATCGAGAAGCCGTACATGTTTATTGCTCCTTCGTGTTGTATAAGGAGCTCGTTTATGGCTTGCATAGCGGAGTCATTCGACACGTTCGTATAGAGGGCAGTGACGTCGAAGGACTCCACCACGTACGCGCTGTTGGGTCGCGCGTTACGTAGACGATCCAGGAACATTTGGGAGATCGTTAGATGAGCTGGAATGTACTTCAACAACTGAGCAAGT